CAAATAGATACTTTCTTCTGGGAGCTACTCAAGATGGAAGAACTGGATGGTGTGAAGTTATGTAAAACAAAAATAAAGAATTTGTGTCCTCGATCCAATTTGTTTATTACTAGGTGGTAAATCAACCGATCCTCAAGTGTTATTTTGCGTAATGAATTCTGATGCTGGTTCATGACTCAATCATCGACATGTCAATGCCATTGTTTCAAACATTTAAATGCATATTTGATTGTTGGGTTAATAAATGCAAGAAGGCAGTGTGTTTGGTTGTATGTTAAATAAATATTGTCAAACATGTATAGCAATGTTATTGGGCCACATGAAGATGTAAGGTGAGGTCCCAAGTACTGTCCTTTTAATTCTCACTCTCTTTGTCTTCTCTCTAACCCCAACGTTCCTTTTTAAAAAAATTTGGAATACAAGCAATATCTAAACTACAAGGGGGAGAGCCCAATCCCTCCCCTAACCCCCTCCCCCAAAAAAACACTCCACAATTGCTTTCACTTTGAAGGAAGGGGGGAAAGTGGAGGAGACCACTGTTCTTCCTCCCCTATCCCCTCATTTCTTCCTCCCTTCTCCACTCTTCCCCCATTTTCAGTGGCATAAGGTTTTCCCTTTTGTTTTGGTTTTGTTATGCTTTTCCTCCACTCATCATAGGCGATTGCGTCTCGACGTTGGATCTCCACCACCACCACCACCATCCTCTACTCCTTGGTACCACGGGTAGCTCTTTCGTCGTTTATCCTCGGTGGCACTCTCTGGTATGAGGTTTCTCAAATGCGCTTACAGCTTGGATATGGTAGGTCTCCATGCGTTGGTGGCTTGCCTGCCAACATTTTCGGTCATTTTGTGTTGCATTTGTTTGAACTCTATGAGTTCACTATGATGTAACTAGCTTTGGCTTTCTATTAATAAACTTGTCACAAGGGGAAGGGGGTTTCTCACACAAACACACACACACTACCAATGTGCCATGAGAGTTCGAACCTAAGACCACTTGTCTACAAGTTAAAACCATTTTCCACTAGCTGGACCTCGCACATTCGTCAATTCTTTATCTTCCACAATTCACATAAATGCCATTCTAAAACATCCTCAACCAGCATGAAACATGAGATAGGAACCACTGATGCAATTCAACTATTAATCAGTTCACATGTATGCATGTACTTCAGAAGTCAATACAATGGGTGATATATATACATAGGTCATTGATTTTATGAAAGGTAGATTTGTTTTGGGTAGTTTTATCTTCTTAAGCAGATCACAACGACTCGGCTTTCAAAAGTGGAAAGATAACAAACTACACCAAAAATTAGTGATAAATAAATTAATGACAGGAAGTTCCTTAAAAGAAAATGCTATGTTGCATCTTGCATACTAACACAATCTGGTGCACTAGTACAGGTGGTTTTCTTTTGCAACTGATTTTGACCATTAGATGAAACGTCAGCTTGCAGCTTTTTGGGAAGATAAAATATCTGCTTACAGTTTCCTAGAGAATTTACATTATAATTGATAAAGAAGGTTGAAGCCACGTGTTCTATGCACTTGGACATAACAAGCGGTGAGTTTGGCTGAAGAAGAAAGATTGAGACAAAAACAAAAATGAGTAGAAACCTTGAATGGACTAGAGAACAGAGAGAGCAATTAGCTGAAGTTGACATGTTTGTCGGTCGTCTAATCTCAATCAAAATTGCTGGAACTTTATTTGCAGAGAATAGTTGCGTCTCCAAACTGATGTATCATGATTGATTTGTGAAAACTCAGTAAAATTAACACAAGAATATTTCAAAGCTATAGCTTATGATAGCCTCTTGCGTATTCTATTCAGTTTAGTTTTAGGCTTCATTTACAAACCAAGTTCTCTCATTTTCCTCCTCACACAGTCTCTGTCCGTCACCAAATGGGGAAACCACCGCCCGGAAAGTGCTCTCAAGAAGTCTGCTTTGGCCTCCTAGTGTCTTTTGTTTTGTGCCTTGTATTGCTTTGCTTGAACCATTCAACTTCATTGGGTGCCAACAATTGGATCGATCTTTCGATGAGTAAACAAGTTCGTCCAATTGGTGTTATGAAGATTAACAACACCGAAGATTCATGCTCCGATCGCTACATTTATATCCATGATGATCTTCCTTCCAAGTTCAACAGTGACTTCCTCATCAACTGCAAGTCTATTTCTGCAGGGATTAGTAGTAGTAGCATACCAAGTATGTGTCCTGACCTTGTGAATTTGGGTCTTGGTCCTAAAATTGAAAACTCTGACGGGGTTTTAGCCAACGAGAGTTGGTTTATCACAAATCCTTACTTGTTAGAAGTCATATTCCACAACAAGATGAAGAAGTATGAGTGTTTGACAAGCAACTCCACTCTGGCGTCTGCCATTTATGTGCCATTCTATACTGGCATGGATGCCAGTGTTCATTTGTGGGATTCTAACCTCACTATCAGAGACTCTTCAGCTAAGAATTTGGTCAAGTGGCTTTCGGGACAACCCGAATGGAAGAAAATGTGGGGCAGAGACCATTTCTTTGTTTCTGGGAGAACTTCTTGGGATTTTAGGAGGGTAAGAGACAATAGTTCTGAGTGGGGTAGTAAACTCAGGTTCTTTCCAGAGTCCATGAACATGACTATGTTATCAATGGAAGGAAGCCTTTGGAAAAATGACATTGCTATACCATACCCCACAAGCTTTCATCCTGCAAAGGACAGTGAGGTGGTTCAATGGCAGAACAGAGTGAGACAACAAGAAAGGCCTTACTTGTTTGCTTTTGTCGGTGCACCAAGGCCTCACCTGCAAGGTTCTATCCGGGGCAAAATTATTGATCATTGCCAAGCATCAACTACTTGCAAGTTTTTACATTGCGGTGAAAACAATTGTCACAACCCGGTTAATATTATGAGGGTGTTTCAGAGCTCAGTCTATTGCCTGCAGCCTCGAGGGGATTCAGACACTAGGAGGTCAGCTTTCGACGCTATTCTGGCTGGTTGTATTCCAGTCTTTTTTCATCCTGCCACCGCGTTTTCTCAATATTTGTGGTATTTACCAAAGAATCATACCAAGTATTCCGTGTTTATTCCGGTGAGGGATGTAAAAGATTTGAAAGAAGAAGGCATCATTGAGAAAGTCTTGCAGGGAATTTCAAAGGATAGGGAATTGGCCATGAGAGAGGAGGTTATAAGGATGATACCAAAGCTGGTATATGCAGATCCCGGGTCAAGATTAGACACTCCAGATGCATTTGATATAGCTGTGCAGGGAATTCTTGAGAGAATAGAGAATGTTAGAAAGGTGATTAGAGAAGGTAGGGATCCTAGCATTGGTTTTGCAGAGGGTGATGGTACTAAGTTCACATTTCCTGATACAGTAGACTAACTAGATTGAATGCAATATATACTTTCTGAGTGAAGATACAGAAATTGGGGGGGAAAAGGAAGAACAGCTTATGTAGAGAAATAAAATATAAAGAAAAGAACTGATGTTCTTTTGTTTTTGAACTTTAAATTTATAGACCATAAATTTGTATTCCACTATGCGATTATTCTCCGTTGTTTGATGTCGATTGCAGAAGCTTTCCAGAAAGTTACAGATATAACTCTGTACTGTGAGTATGTTTTTGAGAGGTTGCACCATTGTTGCTCAGTCATTTGCAAAATTTTCTTGGAACTGTGATTAACTTACTGACTGAGGCCTCATTTCCGAGACGATGTATTCGTTGCTTAGTCGAATGAAATTGCTTTAGCTATTAAAAAAGGATAGTACATTAACAGATCATATATGAAATGAAAATTGAATATCATGTATACCTTGCTTAGCTCAATGAAAGCTGATATGGTGGTTTGCGTTTATACCAATTTCAAATTCCAAAGGATTTGCCTAAACTATACCTAGAGTAGCTCATACTCTCAATTATTCTCAATAAATTCTTATTGAATTAGAATTAACCAAGTCCCTCGAACTAGGACCCCAATCGAACTTAACCTCCTGAACTAAAAAATCAGCCAATTTAACATCCGAATTAATTAAAATAACCAATTTAACACATGCCATTAGATTTTATCACATTTCATCCATAAAGTGTCAGAAGTGGACCTTCGCGAACGACACCATGAGCAGCAAGAACCCGATCGTGAACAGGAGCTACATAGAGAAGGAGTCGGAGGTCCGAATCTAGAGCTGGTCATGAGGCGTGGACAAAAGCAGCTTCTTCGCAGTCTCAATCCCAACCCAGACAATCGAATCGAATGTAAGCAAAATTGCTAAATTGCCCAAAATTGCCCCCATTTTTTACTAAAGGTTTTTGGGTTTATGGTAAAGTCGAAATTGCCCTCTAAATATGTTCCATGTGCGCCTCACGTGACATTTTGAATGGAATTATGGATGAAATTCAATGAAAACTAACGGTAAGGGTGAAATTGGTGATATTTATTAATTCGGGGACTAAATTAGCTGATTTTTTAGTTTAGGAGGTTAAGTTCGATAGGAGTCATAGTTGAGGGGGTAAAACAGCTGAAAATAATAAGTTTTCGTGTTTGCCACAAATAATAAGTTGATTGAATACAGTCTGTCACCATCACTCGATCAAGATATTCAAAGTCATGGTTTTGTATTGTTGCTTTGATCAGCCAAAGAAAGAATCCACTTTACTTGGTCAGCAAATTAATTGGAAAAATATCCTGTTTATAATAAAGATTACTTAAAAGGGTAGCATTAAACATAAACAAAAACAAAACCAAAAAAAAAAAAAAATTCTTAAACTTTAAGAATATGAACATTTTTTTCCTTGCACGTGTCCACAAGTCCGGAAGGACCAAATCATTAAGGCTAATAGAAGCACCCGACGGATACGGTCTACGCTGATTTGCAGGAATAAGAGAAAACCACCCCCATAGACTCCTTCCCAATGTGTCAATGTCCCAAAACAATAGTTTTCTTAATGCAAAATTTTCATTCCGAAAATTAAATTAAATTATTTTAAAAAAAGAAAAAAGAGAAAAAGAGAAACAAAAGAAACGAAAGAACAAAGGATAATGTCATTCTTCTTCCTTTTCTTCATCTCCTTTCCGTATGAGTCCTTCTTCTCCTCCTACCGCTTTCATGAAGCGGGCACCGCCGCGGCCGTGACGCGGTCATCATCGTCCTTAAAAACACCAACAACCCCAACATGCCTCCTCAGATGCCATACCAGGTATTTTCTGTCTAGAGAGAGAACTGTGATTCATGTGAAAGGCTGTTTATTATTAGTGGCAGACTTGTATATATCTGGAGTTGAAAGGTTGCTTAGTGTCCTGTTCCTGTTGGCCACCCAACAGGGACTTGTTATTAAAAAGTTTATAGCCAAAATACTTTGAAAAATATGTCAAAGTTTGGAGGTGGCAACAGAGAGTCACTCTGTCAAAAAAAAAATTCAGATTCTTTTAGTGATTCATGGTTTTGAGGTTAGTCCCTTTTGATTGGTTTTCTTTATCTATTTTGATAGTTTGCCTCATTTGTCCTCTTCATATCACTTTTCCCTTTTCTCCTCCATCTTCCTGATCTTATTGGATTGATTGGCTTTTCCTCTTTTTGACCACTTACCATGCATATCCCATCTCCCTTTCTTTCCTCATTCCAAATCCCATGTCAATCTTAATTACATTCTCCATTTCCTTCAACTTCCCCTATATATTCCCCTGATCATACTAGAGACATAATTCGAATTCAAACAGTGGTTTACCATATATATATATATATTTTCCATGCCTCTCTCTTCTGCCTTGTTACTAATTCGGTGAACCGGTGATCGGAGACATTCTAGTCCGGCTGAGAGAGCCTGCTCATGATTGATTGAAGATCAAATGGAGAAACCACTTGCCGGAAAGTGCCACAAAGAAGTCTGGTTTGGCATACTAATCTCCTTTGTTTTGTGCTTTACCATTCTTTGCTTTGATTATTCAACGTCAAAATTGGGCGTATACAATGGGGTCAATCTCTTAGTCAGACGTGTTCATCCATACATCACCAGAGATTCGTGTTACGGACGTTACATTTATGTTCATGATGATCTTCCTGCCAAGTTCAACGATGATCTCCTCAAAAACTGCCAGAATCTTACTACAGGGAGCAAGCCTAAGAATAGTGACACACAAAATATGTGTCCTTATATCGTGAATTTGGGGCTTGGTCCTGAGATTGAGGAACCAGAAGGGGTTTTAGCTAACGAGAGTTGGTTCATCACAAATCCCTACTTGTTAGAAGTCATATTCCACAACAAGATGAAGCAGTACAAGTGTTTGACAAACAACTCCAATCAGGCTTCAGCCATTTATGTACCATCCTATGTTGGCCTTGATGCCAGCCTCCATCTGTGGGATTTTAACCTCACGGTGAGAGACTATTCGGCCAAAGATCTCGTGGGATGGCTTTCGGGCAAGCCCGAATGGAAGAAAATGTGGGGGAGAGATCATTTCATGGTTGCTGGGAGGACTTCTTGGGACTTCAGGAGGCAAAAGGAGAATAGTTCTGATTGGGGTACTAATCTCAGGTTTTTGCCAGAGTCCATGAACATGAGTATGTTATCTGTTGAAGGAAGCCTTTGGAAAAATGACTTTGCCATACCATACCCCACAAATTTCCATCCTGCAAATGACAGTGACGTGGTTCAATGGCAGAACAGAGTCAGAAGCCAAAAGAGGCCTTTCTTGTTCACTTTTGTTGGTGCGCCAAGGCCTGACATGAAAGATTCAATCCGGGGCAAGCTTATTGATCAGTGCCAAGCTTCAAGCAACTGCAAGTTCTTACATTGTGGTTCTTCTGGGATTAATTGTAACAACCCGGTTACTGTTATGAGGGTGTTTGAGAGCTCTGTTTATTGCTTGCAGCCTCCAGGGGATTCACACACTAGAAGATCAACTTTCGACTCGTTTCTGGCAGGCTGCATTCCGGTTTTCTTTCATCCAGCAACTGCGTATACGCAGTATTTGTGGCATTTACCGGAGAATCATACCAAGTATTCGGTGTTTATTCCAGTGAAAGAAGTTGAAGATTTGAAAGAAGGCATCATTGAGAAAACTTTGCTTGGAATTTCGAAGCTTGAGGAATTGGCCATGAGAGAGGAGGTTATAAGGCTAATACCAAATCTGGTATATGCAGATCCCAGTTCAGGATTAGAGACCAAAGACGCATTTGATTTAGCTGTACAGGGAATTCTAGAGAGGATAGAGAATGTTAGGGAGGTTACTACAGAGGGGAAGGATCCTAGTATTGGTTTTGCAGATGAGGATAATTTTAAGTTTACATTTCCTGAGACACCAGAATAAACTTGGTAGATTGTGTTTAGAGAACAAAAAGAGATAGAAGAATATTGCAGGATATTGAAATTCATCAAACTATAATTATTTCCATTTGATTGTAGAAATGTTATATGAGACAATGCCAGTTCTTTACCTCTGTGCTTCTTACACTAGCAACTAAAGAATTTATATTTAGTCATGTTTTTTTCAGAAAGTAAACAAGAGAAGAAAATAAAAATAGAAAGGTTATTATATAAAGTACATTGTAAGTTTCAATAAATAAAAGAAGATACATTTTATGTAGAGGTCGCTATACTATGAGTTTGGCAAAAGCTAGGGTCATCTGTCTAGTCTTTCTTCTTGCTTTCTGGGCTTCAGCCCGCCTCACCAACCAAAAAAGTAAAAGTGAAAAGGAGAAATATTTTCGGGGCCCAGCTGATAACTATTTCGATTTTAGTTTTAGTTTTTATTTTTTGTGCTAGAGTATAGAGGAAAATGAGAGAGAGAGAGGTAATAAAAGTGAAAACAATTTCAAATATATTTTAGTTTTTAGTTTTTGTGTTCACTTTTGTTACTCGTTCATTCATCCCATCCTCCCCTCTCATCTTCTCTCTCAATCCCATCTTTACTGTCATTCTCACTAACATTTCTATACTCTAGCAAAAAATGTGAAAACTAAAAACTAAAGTTGAAATGGTAATCAAACGGACCTTTATATTCTCATAAACACACGAGTAATTGTTAAGTCAATAAATGTCACGGATCACTAGAAATTTTTTTAAAATAATTTAATAAATACTTGGAAGGAGGAGGGTTATGAACTTATTCCCCCAAGCCTCATTGTTTAAACAAGCTTATTGCCCTAAAGAGTCTCTGAATCATCATGTAAGCTACTTCCTAGCCGTTTGGACATTGAAGTCAATAGTTCACTCTGTACACCGGTTTGCCAATCATATTTTAGTCATTGGGTTGAGCAAGAAACATTATCATCTTTGCCACTAAACCCATAACATTAGTCACCATTACAGCCCACCCCTCGGTGGTTTTGTTGTCCCAACCTTATTCTTGAAATGTCTCTTACTGAGAGAGCAAGTATTTTTTATTTGGTTTTACCTACAGCAACCAATTTAACCGGTAACCAACAATCAACGCTTTGGATTACCCCACATGCCCCAGCTACTCATCCAATGGTCTATAATAAGTGGCGCATCAGTGCGCCTGACGCACCGTAGAATTTTCCCTAATGTCTCTAGCTTTTTATACATCTTGGTGCAATGCATGTATTTAATGTATTATGAAGGCCAATAAACAAAAAAAGTTCGAAACACATCTCGCTCTCAACAGTACTTCGTGGCCGAATAAAATGAGAAATCAATGCCGAAATTAAAGGATCAAGTTTTGGAGTGAAGCATGGTTGGTCGCCTCCTATCATGCAAGGTTTGTCAAATTTATTTTATATTTAAATTTTTTGCATTTAATTATTTTATTTTCATTATTTCAGGCCCGTATTTAAAAAGGCCGTCAACTTAAAAACCAGCAGATTCAAACCCCATTACGCCTTGATAGTGTGAGTGAGAAACCTTCTCTCTTGTAATTTTAGATTACCTTTTGTATTTAAAAAAGAGAAAACAAAAATACAACAAAACAATTTAACAAACAACGAAAGTGATAGCATGTTTGCTTTGTCGGTTTTTGGCTTTTGAGGAAACGTAGTGGTCGCCTCTTTCTAATTAAAAGACGTGCGTATTTTTATTTTATTAATTATTCTCATGCTGATTTTATTTCTCAGAGGCCAACAAGTGGCTTACTTCTTACCAAAAATAACACGTGTCTTAGTTGTTGTTTTCTTCTTTGCTTTTAGACTAGCCACTTGGCACGCCTGCGCCAATTGGGTTTTTCTTTCATATAAATATTTTATTATTAAAGATTAGTAACCAATTTAAATTAAAAAAGACAAATTAGATGTAGTTGTGTCCCAATAAAGTAGGATACATGATCTTATTTTGTTTTTTATTTTGTTAATTTACCATATTACTCTTATTTAATAAGTATGTATATCTCTTTAACTAACCCTCCGTTAGATGAGGAAAAATAACTCAGAATTTAGCTAAAGGTCGGGAATTAAGAAGAGAAATTAATAGTTTCCTTGTTTGGCAACTTAAGTGAGTAATTTATTAAATGACACGTGGAAAAAAATCGTGGAAATTGAGGTATCAAATTTTCGAGTTTAATTTCCACCAAAATATGCGTCATTTCACAATTTCCATAGTGCAATTTATAAAATTCTGTCATTTATAAAATTCGACATACATAAATCCAAACACTGAAATCTTCAATTGTAGGAAATTGAAATTATGAAAATTTAAATTCTGTCATTTTAGAATTCGATGTAATTTTCAATTTCTTCATCCAAAACAGAAGGTAAAGGAATTTTTCTGGTATTTTGAATGTTTTATCATCCTCGGCCTTTCTCTGTATAGATACATAGATTAGTTCTTATGTATAATTCCGAACAGTGGCTTTTACTTTGCAAATCGTATGGAAGAGTTTGAAGTTTATTTACATATAATGATCATATACAATTTTTAAAGGCAAGCTAACGGCTTCCAGTGGCCTAATGTAGTTATTTTTAATTATAGATTAATAATGAGTTTGTAACAGTTATTTTGAGGCAAGAGGGGAATTATCATGTGGTGCGTAAAATTTGCTGCTATTGGAAGAACTTTGTCAAAAAAACAGGTACAAGAATATGCAGGATATTGAACTTCACGAAACTAAAATTATTTCCATTTCATTGTAGAAATTATTTCACTTTTATTTTACTAAGACTGTCTTCAATTCAGGGTCTTAAACCCAAATTTCAGCAAACTTTGGCGCGAAGGCGCGTCTCCAATCCAACCAAGGGATTCCCCCACAGGCGCAAATTTGGGAATTACTACAGTTGCCGTGGGAATTCGGGACCCAATACTAGACGGGCTAAAAATATTGGGCCCACAAGAAGCACAGCCACCCCTTTTTTTGTCCTTTAGCGCTAAAGTGGCTTATTGTGAGCAGCGCGAACTCCCTAGATCCAGCGGCTAGCTTCTAATCTAATTTTTCTTTTTGTCTTTTTTTTTTTAATGAATCAACGGCTTATAACATTTTTGGATGATTTAAATAAATAAAAAATTAAACCTCCCAAATTTAAATCCAATAATCAAAATAATTAGATAAAATATTCTAAATTATATCCAACATCAATTTTCATTTCAAACTTTATAAATACACATTTATTTGTTAAATTATCCACATAACACTAATTTATTCATATTTCAATGCCAAAGTTTCTTCAAATTTCATTTTATTTAAATTTTCACTATCATTTCTTTCAAAGATGGCCCCAAAACCATTTTTATTTATGTGTTCTACTCGTTTTTATGAAAAAAAAAAAAATTATTTTCCAGAATTTTATTTTATTTTAGTTAAAATGTCCATAAAAATAAATTACGATGGATTAAACTAAAATTAACTCAAAGAAAGTTAACATGAAAAAAATTAATGTTAAAACACCTAAAATTTGAGTTTGGGAGTATGTTTTTGTGGTATAGAATCATAATCAATTTTGTCTGGTTCGGTTTGATTTGGTCCAATTTTTTTTTGTGGGTTAAAAAATAAAATAAATAAATATAGTCGATCTAGTTCAGTTAAGGTCTGGTTTTTTGTGGCATAGAACTGGAATTGGTACAAGTTTAAACCTGTCCAATTTGATTTTCAGTTTGATTTTCACTTTTTCGGTTAACTCGATTTGGTTCGATTTTCCGGTTCAATAGTTTTTATGCCCACCCTAATTTCACACTAACATATAGTGGAATCCAAATCAACCAAAGTTTAACAATTGCAAAGTTAAATAAATAAATAAATGTTTAAGAACACAAGGCTGGTCTCCAGTAGCCTATTGGATTTGTGCTCCAAGCCAAAACCCATAATTTCTCGGGTTCGAGATTGGCAGAGAGAGAGAGAGAGACGAAGAGAGAGGGGTTGACAAAAAAATTTAAAAACACAAGAACATCACAACTTTAGTTTATAATTTACGCTAAATAAGTACATGTTCTCAGGGACGAATCCAGGATTTCAAATTTCGGTGGGCTAAATTTACCTTATGTACACAAAAAATTTCAGCAGTGAAGGCCACATCGCACCAAGTTGGACTTTAGAACATGTGTGATAGAAAAAAGAGATACACAAAATAAAAAAAGAGAAACGAAGGAAAAAAAAACAAGAGAAAAGCAACAATATATATATATATATATATACTAGGAAAAAAGCTCAGTTCGTAGTAGATCCAAACCATTTTAAAAAAAGGAGAAACAAAGGAAAAAAAAAACAAGAGAAAGGCGGAAAAAACAAAAAGAAATAGGAAGAAGAGAGAAAGGAGGAAAAGAAGAAAGAGAGAGAAATGAAGAAAATAAGAAAAAGATAGAACATGGGTATTGAATTTTTTTTATTAAAATGCATGGGCTAGAGAGAGAGAGTACATGGATATTGACAGCTAAAAAAGGGGCATGGGCTATAGCCCGTATAGCCCAATAGCTGGATTCGTACAAGGACGGACTCAGGATTTCAAATTAGGGTGGGCTAGATGTACCTTACGTACAAGCCATGAAGGGAGGAACATAATCAATGGAACCATGAAGGGAGGAACATAATCAATGGAATCGACGTGTATAGATTTCCAATTTTTTAAAAAACACAAAAATAAAATACGATTAATGTTGCTTAATTAATTGGAAAATAAAAAAATTAAGCATAAACAATGGGAAATGAAAATTCAACCATTTTAATTTTTACTAAGAAATCCATTGTTGTCTGCAACAACTCATCAGATCTTGGCTGCTACTTCTGGAGTTGTGTTGCTTTGTGCTTTTCGATGAAATATGTCCGCGTTTGCACCAGAGAGCTTGGTGAGGCTTCTTCTCTCTCGCTGCGTTGGTGTGGATTATACATTTGGTTTCAGAGACGGATAGAGAAGAGGGCACACGAGACCGCATAACTCTGACCATAGCTCCATATCTGGCTACAATTGAGTAATAACCACAGAGAGAGAGAGAGAGAGTAATAACTAGTGAGTAATAATCCAGTTTTGAGTTTTTTTATATGAATTTCACACTAAAGGG